ATCACTGTTGTTCACAATTGGAAGACAGAGGATTTTAAGGCAGGAGAGCTGCATTTGAAGGATCCTTTTTCCATTACTGGAGATAGGCCCAGAGCTTGTGTCCTGGCTGCTCTTAACCAGCCAGGCTCAGCCACTCACCCTTAATAAGCCAATTAAAAGAACCAAGGAACACTAGGTGGTAGTGGTGCATGCCTTTATTCCTAACACTTGGGAGGCATAGGCAGGTGAATCTCTGAAAATTCAAGGGCAGCCTAGTCTACAGAGCTAGTTCCAGGAAAATCAAGGCTACACAAAGAAACCCTGTCTTGAGAAGAAAGGATGAAAGGAAGGAATGAAAATAGGAAGGAAGGAAGGAAGGAAGGAAGGAAGGAAGGAAGGAAGGAGGGAGGGAAGAAAAAAAAAGAAGTTAGTTGTGTGTGATGTGCCTATCTCTAATTCAGACATAGTGGAGACAAGATTGACAAATCTCTCTGATGTTCTAGAAGAAACTAGTCTTAATAGTAAGTTTCAGGCCAGTCAGAGATTCATCACAAAATGATTATTTAAAATAAAAAGAGAAAACCATAAAAAGAAAAACGAGCAAATTTTCATTAAGAAATGTAAATGACATTTTTTACAGTGTGTAATATTGAACAGTAATAAAGTTAAAAGGTAACTAGTCCATCCTTGGGGTCCTAACAAGCTTAGATAGACTGCAAGAAAACTGCAGTCTATAACTAAGTAATATAACTAAGCCATATAATGAAAGTTTTCCCACCTCTAGAACCCTCTCTGAACCTCAGCTCCTGTCTTTCCTGCAAGGTGGTCAGATAAGCAGTAAATGTTTCTTCAGTAGAGACATACTCATCTGAGGAGTCAGTCTTTTCCCACAATGAATTTGCCAGGGAAATCAGAATTTCATGGTATCTAATGTTTCACTAGTTGTTAGCAAAGTGAGAGATATAAAAGTCTCTTAGAATACCCTTTTTACTGCCATTAATGCAAGTACTAGGCATTGATGGAGTGGAAACTGAGGAGACTGAAAGTCCCAGTGGGGAACACAAAGCAGAGGCTGAAGGATATTGTCACTGACAGCTATGTGAGCTTCCAAAAAAGTAAGTGGAAGACCTGGAAGAGGTCTGACTCACCGCAGCTGAGTGGATACAGAGTACAGTTCATGTCAGCTTGCCTTGAGGTATACCCTAAGCACTGCTCTCTGGCATGTGATCCTCCGGCTTTCATACCCACTGCTTCTTCTCTAACAGTTGCTCCAAACTCCACAGTTCTTTGTAAATGACTGATGCTCAGCCTTTGAGAGACTTCATTCAAGTCTCAGGGTCTGCTGACAACCTGGATGTCATCTAGAGTCACCACCACTCAGCTCCTTACTAAAGGTTTTGCAGCCATCAGGGAAGCAGATTATGATCCCATTCAGACAAGACAGACTTCATGTCTGCAATTTCCTTTTCTCTCCTTTCAGGGGGTCTAAACTGAAGCTGGGTACACCTGACATGTGAGTATGTGCACTTCAATTGCTGCCTATTTACCACATTAGAGATAAAGTAACTCTTGTGGCTTTGGCTAAATGATGAGCCATCTTTTAAAGATTTTTGTTGTCAGTTTCTCTCTTGATCACCTTTTTGTACTTTTCTCTCATTTTGTAGAGATTTGGGTTTGGAAAATTCTTTAAGCACCAAGTCTAAGTTTCTGATGCTATCAATCTTATATTTCTTCTGGGTCAGGGCTGAGGGAATAATGAATGTAGATCAGCCACTCACGCCCTACTGCTATTAATGACATGTTCGTAGGACTGAATTCAGGGTTAGGTTTATCACTTAGAGCACTGGCTGCCCATCCACAGGGCCCAACTTTTATTTGCAGCACGCACAAGACAGCTTACACCTGCACCTCCAGTCACTGTGGATAATCCATAGTCTCCTGGTCAACACTGATACCTGGCATGTACTTAGTGAACTCACTGGCAAAACTTAACACACCTAAATTAAATTTCATTCTTTTTTTAAGAGCAGGCACATGAATAAAACCTTTTTTACAATATGGAATCACATACCTATCTGTCTTTTCACCATTTGTGCATGTTTCCCTAAAAGGCCAGAAGAATGCACCAGATTTGCAGGACCTGGAAATACAGGTAGTTCTCACCAATCTGATGTGAGTGCTTGGAACCAAACCTTGGTACCTGAAAGAAGTAGTACTACTTAGCCAACTCTCTGGGTCCCAAATATGACATTATAATGCAGAAGGTGAAGATGCCCCACGTCTCCTTCTGCCTCCTATCACTTGAAGGTGATGAAAGCCCCCACTAGATGGTTGTCAAAGGATTCAATGGGTTTACATATCTCTGTGAATGGACTTTCTATATTGTTTCTGATTTTCATTAACACAGTTCTTTTGACGTGAATTAAGAAAACAAAAGGTTTTGTTAAATCCAGGTAGAGTCCAGCCAGATTGAGATTTTTGGGGGGTTATTTTTTTTAAGACAGGATATGTCTACATTGCAATGGCTGCCCTGGAATTAACTAACTATGGAGACCAAACTGGCCTAAAACTCACAGACAGTGGCCTGACACTCTCCCCCAAGTACTGGGATTACAACTATGCACCTCTAAGTCCAACTGAGGTATGTTTTTTAAATGACATTTGATGGGGCAGGTCCTTCTGTGTATGATTGTCTTATTGGTTGATATATAAAACACTGTTGGCCAATAGGGAAGTAAGTTAGGTGGGACTAGGAGAGAAGGAGGAATCTAGAAAATATAGGAAAAGGAAAGAGTCACCATGTGATCCAAGAAAAAGAGGTCACATAAGGCCAGTGTCCTCGGTACGATAAGTACTCATAAAAATATATAGATTAGTAGTTATGGTTGATAATTAAGACTGAGCTAGCAAATAAGAATCCTAGTCATTGGCCAGCAGCATTGCAACTAATATAAGACTCTGTGTGTGATTTGGGGGCCCTAAAGTGGCCACAGAACCCAGGCAGCTGGTGGAAATAGTTATTGTTACAAACCTATCATTAATTGAGAAAATTAAAAGATAAAATAAGATTTAAAAAGGGACTATCATTGTTTCAATGAACAGCAATACTTCCTGAAATTGTATAATAGGGAAAATAATTTCATATGTTCTCAATAATTAGGCTGTTTTCTTTGCCTTGTTAATCTCATTCACTTAAAAAAGTTTGAAATGTGTTTCTGTGTATACACCTGCACCACGATATGTATGCAGCACTGAGAGCACAACATAGGGCTGTCTGTTATCTACTTCCCCTATATGAGTTCTAGTGATGAAATCTAGAGAGTCATTTGACTGTAAATGACATCAATGGCACTTATTTAGATTTCAAAATTATTTATGTATGTGTTGAGTGTACATATGCCACTGCCACAGTATAGAAATAAGAGAAAAACTTCCAGGAGTAATATGGGTCACCCAGAGACAGAACTCAGGTCATCTGGCTTAGCAGCAACCAACTTTACTGAATGAGGCAATTTTCTGACATTCATTTGAGGTCCTGAGAAAGTGTTATAAACAAATATTTAGTTCCCAGAATAAACAAATTAAAAAAGAATGAGTATAAATATTTTCATATGCAAAGAGGATTTATTGTTCAAATTATTCTGTGTTCCTCTATCCTTGTATAAAATTATGTTTACAATATGAAAAGAAGACAATAGTTTATTGCTGTAATATTTATGCTAATCTTATTTGAGCAGCAGTGAAATGACTCAGTGAGAGAGGTCTGTGTTTGGCAAGGCAGGAAACCTGACCTTGATCACCATATAAAGAGCTCTAAAAGTAGACACCACAAATATATGTTCTCCACAAATCTGCCATGTCCTGCAAATCAAAACTCACATTACACACACAAGCACACCCCATAAACCTTTGTTATAAAATAAACAATAGTGCCATTATATTACATACCATCTCTAGATAATTCCCTTAGGAAGCAGTACTTCAAGATAAAATGCCAAATGACTAACTAATGGAGAATGGAAAAAGCATGGAACATCAAATTGATATGTATATTATATAATATATATGTGTATATATAATCTCCATAGAACATCAAGTTATGATAAGATATACACAGATGATTGCTGATTATCCAACTTCATTATATCTCTATTAAATATCCTCTGCTTCACTCAACTAAGGGGGAAACTACTGAAGAAATAAATGTAGGCGTCTGCTCTGGCTCCAGCAAAAAGTTGCTACCTATGTTCACTCCCTAAGAGAGGTTCCCAGCAGAGTTGTCCATTGCTTCTCTGCTCTACTCCACTATGGAGTTTCTGTTCCAGTCTGGGGAAAGAAAGACTTCATCCCAAACTCTCCAAGAGATTTATTTGGGAGGGAGGAGTCCAGGAGAGTGGCTGCCTCTGCCAGGGAGGTAAAGGACATCTGCCACTGAACAGGCACATTGCTGTATATAAGGCTTCTTAGAGCAGAATTTTTCATTGGAGATTTTCAGGGTGGGAATTGGTGGGATTCAGTCACTGAGCTTAAAGAAGCTGAGAAATTGACTGTATTTCTTTATCAGGGAATGGTTGGTTTTGAGCTCAGGGATAGTTGGTTTTATGCTCAGTCTGTCAAGGGTAGAATGTGTTTTTCTCCAGTGTCGTGGCCTGGCATGTCTCAGCTCCAAGCCACGGTAGCCATGAAGTTCGGCCTGAGTGGGAGAGCATAGACTTGGAAACTCCTAGCCACCCAACAGTGATAAAGACCAAATACAGGCATCTTGTCATCTTTAGAGAGCTCTCAGTTCCATGCTGCAAAACTGGAGTCTCTTGTTTATTGAGCATCTTCCTGGCTGTTTTCTAACCATGCTTCCCTGGCCACAAGGAGGCCATTTCTCTCTCCTTCAGTTGACTCCTCTTTCTGCTTCATGGCTCCTAACTCTCTGTCCTCACATGTTACTCACACACCTAACCTCCCACCCAGATGCAGGCCTATTCAAATGCTTAGTTCTGTAGAGATGCAAACTAGGGGACACTCAAATGCTTAGTTCTGTAGAGATGCAAACTAGGGGACATTCCCCACTGAGGCCAGGCTATTCAACAGCAAATCTGTTAGCATCCCCTATTCAAAGCAGACAGATCTCCCAGTTACTGGAACTGCTGGAAATTTCGTAATGGAATTTTCCTAGCTCCTGAAACTCCAGTATGTGTTCTTCCATGCCTTTGAAGAGTAATGTAACATGCAAAGGCTTTACCACACTGATTACATTCATAGGGTTTCTCTTCAGCATGTGTCATTTCATGCATTTGCAGACTACTGCGATGTGCAAAGGCTTTACCACACTGATTACATTCATAGGGTTTCTCACTAGTATGTGTTCTTTCATGCATTTGCAGATGACTGCGTTGTGCAAAGGCTTTACCACACTGATTACATTCATACGGTTTTTCTCCAGTGTGTGTTGCTTCATGCGTTTGTAGATGACTAGCACGTGTAAAGGCTTTACCACATTGATTACATTCATAGGGTTTCTCTCCACTATGTGTCCTTTCATGCCTTTGCATGTGACCACGTTGTGCAAAGGCTTTACCACAATGATTACATTCATAGGGTTTCTCTCCAGTATGGGACCTTTTATGTATTTGTAGAGTACTGAGAGTTGTAAAGGCTTTACCACACTGATTACATTCATAGGGTTTCTCTCCAGTATGGGACCTTTTATGTATTTGTAGAGTACTGAGAGTTGTAAAGGCTTTACCACACTGATTACATTCATAGGGTTTCTCTCCAGTATGGGACCTTTTATGTATTTGTAGAGTACTGAGAGTTGTAAAGGCTTTACCACACTGATTACATTCATAGGGTTTCTCTCCAGTATGGGACCTTTTATGTATTTGTAGAGTACTGAGAGTTGTAAAGGCTTTACCACACTGATTACATTCATAGGGTTTCTCTCCAGTATGAGTTCTTTCATGCCTTTGAAGATAGGTGTCATATGTGAAGGCTTTTACACACTGAGTATATAAAGAAGGTTTCTCTCCAGTTTGACTTCTTTCATTCCTGCAAGGATGATTGGCACATTTAAAAGCTTTATCAAATTCAATGAGTTGTTGAATTTCTATATGTGTATGAATTAATTTTATAGGTTGGACCATTTGTAAATAAGAATGGGATCTTCCCACTTTATCACTGTTAACACTAATGTTTTTCCCCTTCATTTAGGGTTGTTTAGCATCTTTGATGGTACTGTGGTGTTAAGATCCTGTATTACATGCACACAATTACAGAATCTTTTTTTTTTTTGTACATGAAAGTTTTCTCATATTTAAAAAGAACTGGAAAAACTCAGAGCTTTACCACCCTTATTGCAGTCTTAAGTGTTCCTATACTTTGAGTCATACTACATTTGCTAAGTGAACTAGGACAAATAGAAGTGTTTATAGAGTCCTAGTACTCATAGGGCTTTCTGCAGTATGAGTTTGTTGATGTATTAACAGTGAAGCTGAACAACCAATTATTTCTACACTTGAGTCAAATTAAGTATCTCAATGTGGAGATTGACACATATTTTCTAATTGTTTTGAGTGAGACATGTTAACCTCTTTCCATATCCTTATAATCATGGTTTGTATCCAGAGTGACATATGATATACCTAGTACGGGAAGAATAACAAGTAAATGGTTTCCACTATGATTTCACATTTTGACTTTCTGTTCCTCATAAACTTGTTTTATAGGGATTAAGGTTTCTACACAACAACTCACCATTGACTCTTAATTCTAACTGTTCCCTCACTAAGCTTAGCCCAATCACAAAAAGTATATGAGTAATACTAGCTTTACTATGCACTATTTGCCTATTAGAAGGTTTTGAAGATTTACTTATCTCTTCAATGAATATACTATTTGTAATATGAGTGGTATGAAATATATGGATTGAAAGTTCTACAGCATAGCTCTCATACTACTATCATTCAAATGACATCTGTTGACACACTGTTTCCTTGTCTTCTTTCTTAAAGAATGCCATGCAAATTCAATTCACCTATCTGAAATTGAGGTATAACATTTTGTGAGAATTTAATAATCATCAATGTACTTTAAGCTGTGCTTACTTATATTGTTGCTTTTGTTTAAAACTTCCAGGACACATTACAATTACTTCAGAGGTACATTTGTGTCATCTTGCACATGAAAATTACCTTTCATATCTTCTAGAACTTTGATAATATTCTTCAACATGACAGTCTTCCCAACTGTATCCTATAATGCAGTACCAGAAAATATATGTTATATTATTGAAATTGTTCAAAATTTAAGTAAATATCTTCAGTGAACCTGAGACACATGGCTAATGAATTCATCACATTCTTCTTTCTCAATCAAATTAAGGAAGAACATCAATAACCAAAGAATAGATGCCCTTTATTTTAAAATGTGAAGGATAATTCAGTCTTACCTATAGTAGCAAGGTTCCTGTAGGTCTCTAGCATCACATCCTCATAGAGTTTCTTCTGAGAAGGATCCATTAAAGTCCATTCTTCCCAAGTGAAGTCAATATGTACATCATCATAGGTCACTGCATTCTAAAATATCCCATACATGTGTAGGACAGAAAACATGATACTGACAACATTGTAAATGTATACTACATTCCTTTAACAGCATAGTCATATAATTCTGGTGCTCCCCACACTTATTTGATGACATAGACATTATAATGTAATCACCAAGTCAATTTAGAAGGAAACTGTACAGGAGGTTCATCTCTTTCATTTGTGTAGCCTTTGAATCAAATATCACCTTAACATGAGTATTAATGAACATAGAGAGACAAATAAATAGATCAACAGAAGAAAGTACACATGAGAGAAATTGTATGATAAATAATATTAACTACCAAAAAGAAAAATAAGATGAACAAGCTGGGGCTGCTGGCTCACACCTTTAACCCCAGCAGACATATGTATTTACTTTTAAGTACAATGTCAGTCTAGTATATGCAACTAGGTCCAGGAAAGCCAGAAAAACATATTGAGACCATGTTTTCTGTGCAAAAAAATTGGTCAAAAAAACCCAAAAAGATAAAAAGGACTCAGAGGTTATGTACCGAAGATCCTAAAAAGAATTATGCATTCACTCCAGTTCTGTATTCATTTTCCAAAAACCTGAAGTACTCTAATTTAAACTGAAACATCAATAACATTTTACTAAAAGGCACTAGTGTTTAAACAGTTACAAATGAACACATGAAAACATTAGCAATATAAACATTGATCATAAACAACCAACACAGGGCAGGAGAGATGTCTCTTCAGTATAGAGCTCTTGCTGGTCTTGAATATAGGTGGGCTCAATCACCAGTACTTACACAGGGGATCCAAACCATCTATTATTCCAAGATCAGGATTTCTGAGACCATCTTTTGATCACTGAGAGGACCAGGTACCATGTAGTGCTTATCAGTGCATACAGGCAAAATACATTCATTAAAAAATCCAAAACAAACACAACAGGGAAGAAGGTAATGCACCTGCAATCCAATGACTCAGAAGGCTCAGGCAGTTTTAATATAATGAATATAAACCATCTAGGGAAACAGAATGATACCCTCTACCAAATGTTAAAATTCAAGATATGGGGGAAACTCAGTACAACAGCATATGCTTGATATGTACAAAAACCTATATTCCAAGCCAATCACCCAATAATATAAAAATAAAAATAGCCAGGAGTGTTGACCCACCTTTAATCCCAGGACTTGGGACTAAGAAACAGGGGGTCTATAATTTTTCTGCCAGCTTGGTGTACAGAGCTACTTTCAGGACAGCCAGAGCTACACAGACAAACCTTGTCTTCAAAAACACACAAGCAAAAAATTAAAACAGCTGGATATCAAACTGCCTTTGCAATGAATAGCAATTGCTTCTACTGTACCTTATGTGATTTAGAGATAGAGTCTATATGGGTGGTGAAGGTATGACAACACAAGAAGGAAGCTGGCTGATTAGTTTCAACCACAACACAGTAGACACCAAGAACAGGAAATGGGTTGAAGCTATAGAGACTGATATCACACCCCCAATGAGGAACTTCATAAAGAAAGTCTCCTCCTAAGAAAGGTTTCACAAGCAATCAAAAGAAATTCACAATGGAAAGACACATGTTCAAATACATCATCCTGTCTGGGAGGTTTTTCATTAAATCTACAATGAGGAAAATGCATTTAGTCACTTCAATGATCCTCATAGTCTGCAATGGCCCCTACACTGTTCAAACTTCCAAAGTCTCTTCTGACACTCAAGGTAAGCTTTTTGACTTGAGTGACATCTTGTAAAATCAGAAAACAAGTTCCATCTTTCCAACATACAATGGCACAGAATACCATTTACATTCCCAAACAGAGACTTGGAGACACAGTGAGGTAAGATTGGACCAAGGCAAGACTGAAACACAGTAGGACAAACATCAAATCCTGTATCTGTCTCAGATGCAGAGGGCTTCAGGTTCAAAGGCCTTATCCTTGCCAATTCTCATACATCCCTCTTTGGTTACCTCTACCAGTTATATGCACCTGGATCTCCATAGAAGTGCCATAGCTTTAGGTATCTGAAAATCTTAGCATCTCAAAATACAACCCTCAATGTTGTAGAATATTATTTTAAGATGGGTTATATTTATTTATGCTGTGCAACATTTGTTTTTATGATGCAAATGTGCTGCATCCTTTTATGTGACATTTGTTTAACTCTGTGAAGCTGTGATGCTTTGCCTGTCTAAAATACTTGATTAGTCTAAAAATAGGTGAATAGCCAATAGGATGCCTGACAGGATAGGTGGGGCTGGCAGGCAGAGTAAATAAATGGGAAGAAATACCTGGAAGCAAAAAAGGAAGGAGGAACAAGAAAAGGAGAGTACAATAGGGGCCTGCACAGCAAGTCACAGAGTAAAAAGTAAAGAAGGGTATATAGAATGGAGAAAGATGAAAGCCCAGAGGAAAAAGGTAGATGGGCTAATTTAACAAAACTTGGCTAGAAACAAGTCAAGGTTGGGCATTTATAAGAAACAGTAAGTCTCCATGTGTCATTATTTGAGAGCTGAGTGGCATGCTCACAAAAGAGCAAAGAGAAAAAAACAAAAACAAAAATCACAATCACAATCACAACACCAGGCTTTCTTCTCACAGCTTCATGAAATGAACTCTTAACAGTCTCCTCACTGCATTTCTGATTCTGCCAAACATAGAAGCCTGCAAGAATCCCGCAGGGCATTGGTGACCCACTCCTTTAATCCCAGCACTTGAGAGGTAGAGGCAGGCAAATCTCTGTGAGTTCCGAGGCCAGCCTGGTCTCCAGAGCAGATGCCAGGAAAGGCTTCAAAGCTACACAGCGAAACCCTGACTTGAAAAACCAAAAAAAAAAAAAAAAAATCCTGAATTATAGCCACAGACTAAAAATCCAATACCTTACATTTTGATTCTTTCTTGTTTCCAGGACCAACATATGATGGGTGATCCTACAAAGTTTGATTTCTTAATTGGAATGGATGCTAACAGGCTTGGACCACAGGTGCAGCAGGTTTTGTATGAAGTTGCTTCCTGGGACTAGCAATCACTTTGTTTAATCCTTCCATAAATTTCAGGTTTAGCTGGATTGAGTCTTACCCTTAGGGCACCTTACTAGGCTTCCATTCCATAGCAAGATATATGGTGATAAACTTCTTGAAAATTCCTGCCTGACTCAGCACTTGACTGCCATCTGAAACTACCTTTTCTTTTTATTCTGCCCCATTTATTTTTGTTTTTTCACTGTAGACCTGAGTGAATCATCAGTAATAACTACCCAACATATTAAATATTCTATTTAAGAAAGTAATCCACTATTTAAAATTATGTCTTACTATATTTGCAGGGCATATGGAGATGGAACCAAAATATCACACAAATGACTTCTACTTTATTTTTTCTGAAGACTATTTCCAATTGAAATCTTATTATGTCAGTCTCCACTTTCTGCCATTACTCTCAACATTCTCATCTTCTGGGTCCTGCATGAAAAGCCAATTAAATTCTGTGTACAACTTTCTATGGTTTTTGCCACCTAAAGTCTTCATATCTTCCATATTCTTCCAAAAGATAACATTCCCAGATCAATTTAGCTTCAAAATCTCAATTGGTGGTCCATTTTTTGTTCTACCTTGTTTTTATGCTAATGTGATTAAATCTTCTAACCACAAAACATCTCAGGAATTGAATGAGTTTATTTGCCTCATTTTGTCAGATCGCACAGCATCATTTTGGGAGTTTAGGATAGAAACAGAAGCTAACAATTAAAGGTAAAACCCATAGGCACAGATGGTTTCCAGACCTTCTCTCTTACCTAGTCATTGCTGTAAGGATTCAGGCACTATGCTCGCCTGCCTGTTACCTGTAAGAATGCACTCAGGCAGGACTCTGGTGAGCCCAGATGCAAAGGACCCCTTTAAAAGAAAGGTCTCCATCCACTTATGCTCTCTTTCCACTCTCTCTTTACTGCTCTTCCCCTGTGGCAGACAGGACTTTTCTGGTCTCTTTCTTATCTTCCATCCTCTCTCTCTCTCTCTCTCTCTCTCTCTCTCTCTCTCTCTCTCTCTCTCTCTCTCTCTGCCTTCCCCCCTTCCCTTTATAATAAAACATCTTAAGCTCTGTCTGCCTGGCATGTTTGTCCACCCACCTTGGTCACACTTGGCTGCCACGGAATCTGCCCAGGTTCAGCATGCTTTATTGCCTGAAGCTCATATAGTTCTCCTTTCCCGACCAGGCCAACTTTCTTTCGTTTTTTTTCCTTTTTTAATGTATTATTTTTCATTTTATATACCAACTCCAGTTCCCCATCCCTCCCCTTCTACCAGGTCCTCCTCAACCCTCACAACCCCATCTATTCCTCACAGGGGTAAGGTCTCCCTTGGGTAGTCAACAAAGTCTGGTATACCAAGTTGAGGCAGTACCAAGCCCCTCAGCCCTATATCAAGGCTGGGCAAGGCCTCCCACCATAGGGAATAGGCTCCAAAGAAAGCCATTTTATGGACCTGGGATAAGTCCTGGTGGCACTGTGAGGGGCTCTCCTAACAGATCAAGCCACATAACTGTCACAGACATTCAGAGGGCTTAGTCTGGTCCCACACAGGTTCCCCAGCTGTCAGTCCAGAGTCCTTGAGCTCTCATTAGCTTGAGTCAGCTGTCTCTGTGGTTTCCTTATAATGATCTTGACCCCCTCCCCCTTGTTCATATATTCCCTTCTCCCTCTCTTCAGCTGAACTCCAGGAGCTCATCCCAGTGCTTGTCTGGGGGTCACTGCATCTGCTTCCATCAGTTACTGAATGTAACAATCTCCACTTCCTGGGGCCTTCTCATGATATTGATGGCCATATAGAGTCTAATTGAAGGAAAAGGCTTCATCTAGCTTCCTGCAGATGATTTCAGGTTTGAGTCTCTGTTGGGTAACTAGGCATTAAGTTTTTGTACTCCAAATGTACATGACAAATATTGATCCTTTAAACCCTTTGAGATCTGCTGCATATGACATTCAAAATGTTTAAGTTTTTGGCA